AATATTATCAGCCCAAATAACAATTATCATTTTATTTTGTTTAGTATAGATATAAGAGTCAGCAAGTGATTGGATGAAATCTTGATTGAGTATAAATGCAACATGCCATTCCAGTTCTGTTTCAGATCATATAAGAAGTATTTCAATCTATATACTGGTTTTTCACTATTAATTGTAAAATGTGGTTGTTCTATATACAGTTTGCAATTGATTCAACTAAACACAAATAAATTGCATTCAAATAAGATTCACAGAGATTATGTGAAGAAACACTATACTGATCAACTAATTGCATTAATGCTTGAACATATGCAATATGTGCTGTACGGGAAAATATCTCAGAATAATCATTGCCATAGATTTGGGAACATCCATTTGTGACAAAATGTGCTTTCTATTGTTGCTTACGATTTTTGCTGTGTTTAATCATAAAATCTCCCCCCCCCCAAAAAAAAACCCTACTGTGCTGATAAGGGGTCTAGTTCATTGATAATTTTCTCTATTAGAACATTCATTTCATTCTGCATGATTTTTGCTAGATGCTTCCTGATATATCTTGAGTACATCAACTAGTATTTCTACCTTTACATTCTCTTTCATCAATCATTGTACAAAGTATTTCTTGTTATGCCTATATCTTTAAATATAAAAAATTTATATATATTTTTATCTGCTAGCAATCAGTGTTTTCTTATTTATTTCTCTCATTGCCACTAGTTATTGCTACTGATAAATGAGATATGAAGTTAAGAATTTAACTGTTTGCTTTTCCTTTTTTGTGATCAGAAAATATATAGGTACCTCTTCCCTCAATATTAAATCTTGTATCATTAGATACAACAAATTTTATGTCCAAATTCAATAGAAACAACCATTGTCAAGAGCTGCTTTTACAGAAAAAGTATCCTACTCTTCTAATTTGTCTGACCCTCAATGCAGCAGTTTTCAGGGTTCAAATTGTTATTGAAACTTATAAATTTTGACTTATTCAATGTTACATTGCTTCACAATCAATCAACAGACCAATTACATGATATTTATTCTAACTGAAGATAGAAATGAATGTGCATCTTTAGAAGAGTATTCGATTCAATATTTTTTACAAAATCATTTTTTTTTATTTGTCTGTTTACAACTTTATTCAATGCTTACTGCATGCTATTACACACTTTTTTTTTGTTTTTGATTTCTTTCCCATCCTAATTTACTGTTTTCATTTTGATTTTCTTGTAACATTCTTTCGGCCACATCAAAACTTCTTAGCAATACTTTGCTATTTTTTTTTCTTTTTGATTGATAATTATGGAAAACAGTTTGAATTATGGCAATATTACTTTTAAGGCTATTAACAGACTCCCATTGATTATTTCTCCTAACATTTTTAAAGAAGTGGAAACATACTGTTGATTTCCTCAAAGAAATTATGTGTATAATGAAATGATTTTGTTTTCCATTTGATTGTGTTCCCTCGAGATTTCCATGCCTTTTAACCACTCTCCTTAGCATCTCAAATGACCATTGAAAGACTTACTTGTACTAGTAAATTAACTTCATACCATTTCTGAAGTCTCCTATATACCAGAAATGTTGCTTCCCAAAACTCTTGCTTGCTTTCATCACTATCAAATAATAGATGAAACCTGGGCTTACAACCTGTTAGCTTTAATATGACAATGAGATAAATGAAATATTTTTACTATTCACAATATTATCAATAGTAGTTTTCATATTGAAATTAATACATAAAAAATTATGTTCAGTATGGCTTTATCTGTTTATAGAGAAAATACATTTTAAAGAAGACACCAACTTATACTTAATTTTCATATGTAGAAGTATACATCATCTTCTATGTGCCATGTCCCTTCAAGACATGGGGCAATCATAGCTCTCCATAACTGATTGTCTTTTATAGCTCTGAGTAAGGTTTATCTTGTTGCTATCCTTCCTAATTCCTGTTCTGCCAGCCATTTACACAAGCTTGTTATGTAAGTTATTCACTGCTTTCCTCTGTCCCTCTAACCTTCAATATGTTCTGTGTATGTCAAATTCTCCAAACAGTCTTTTTTGTTGTTTCCATTTTCCTTAAAACTTTGTCCTTGTTCACATGTTCAATTTATGGTATTCTCAGCATCCGTCTGTAAAACCACATTTCTGTTGACCCCAGTTACTTATTCATCTATGTCCTCAAGGAGAATTGATATTACATAACATTTCATCACTCTTTTCTTTGTTTCTAATAAAGTTTTCCTGTTTCTTAGTACTTTGCTTAGCTTTTGGAATGTATTTTGAAATTTATTCCAATGTGCCTCATTTTCCATCTTCTGTTAGTAAACACAAGTTTTACCAGAAATAAACAATCATATATAATTTATATTTTAACATATATTACAATATATTCCATTGCAAAAACAAACCATGCAGTTCACATCAGTTCAAGTAGTATTCAAAAAATAACATAGGATAAATTTCTTCTGATATAAAAACAAGAAAGAATTTGTTAAAATGACTGTTTTTATTTTTTAGTGATTAAGGCTGGTGTAAGGAAGATTTATGAATGATTAATGACAAAAATAGAATATACATGACTGATAATAAAAGGAAGAACTAGAAGGATTTCATTTATATCTCTCAAAATTCTCAGACAACTGCAAATAAAATTAGAATCCATTGCTGATTTAATTTTCCTATTAATCAATAAGATATTAAGAATTAAAATTTTAATTTTAAAATTCAACCACATTATAAAAAGAAACACAACACATGCTAGTTCTATTATTGCAAATCATATTAACTTCCATTCCAATTCTTCAATCTTTATGCTATTATTTAATCACTAAAATAATGAAAATATGAATGATCATACTGATTGAGGTCAATTGATATTATTTTATATAGCATCTGATGTATCATTGTTACCTTCAGCAGTTACTGTTTTTACCTATTTTCTACTCTTAAAGGTTAATTTGTATTTCCTGTAAGCTTATTGCTAGACTTATACAAAGTTGTAAATTTTACATTTAATCCTCTATTATGCCATCAGAAACTGAAGGATTAATATCTAGGTTCTAATTAAGTAGATTAACTTCACAATTCCTATTTAATATCTATTCTAGATTGTTGTTCATTGGGTAGATAACTGAACTGAAAACAATGAGCTCTGCTATTCAATTGCTTATTCTCTCAGTAGAATAAATTTAAAATGAATCATATTGTTCACTTAACTAGATTTAGCAAATGAATCCTTTATAACATTTTAGAGCTTGATGTTTGTATGTTATAAAACACAATCAAATATGTATTCTCATGCTACAAAACTGGGATTTCATGTTTGTAATCACTGATTAGTTAATTTATCAACTGGTGAAGGTTACTTTAAACTCAACAGTACAGTGTCATATTATGAATGTCAATGTTTTCGCAATAATATTGGTATAACCAACAATGTTAGTAAAATTCTCAGGATATATTTATATGAACAATCAAATTATCCTGGTTAAAAATATTCATACTAACTTATTTTGTTGATGATAGATTTTATTATGCAAACAAAATGCAATGTAAATTTATATCTATAAATAAATCTGAAAGATGTTAACCACAGAAACCTATTTGATTAACACAATATTCCATATACCTGAACAAAATATAATTTTACATGTTAATTTTGTTCCTTGACATTCTATAACCTTCATTAGTCCTTCCCCCAATGATTTTAACTTTTCTACTCTTTTGACTTTACCTACAGCAGTTTTTGTTGCTTCTCAGGGATCTTCTTTACTTAAATATTTTTACTTTTCATCTTTTTTAATGATAGATCACAAGTTTTCTAATGCATTAATGAAGCCCATTAAATTAGTGTCTTTGAAAACCTTTTTGGAAAGGTAGGCAGTAGTCAGTTTGTAAAGCATGAAGAATAGGAACAATAAAACAAGTGCTGCAAACAAACAAAAAGAGAAAACCAAATTTTTTAGCAACCAATGCAAATCACAAGGTACATTGAAGGCAAGTGAAGCAGGAGGAAAAATTGAGTAATGTTTTTGATGAGTTTAAGTAATTGGATAGAACTAGTACCACAAAAACAAAGAGGAGTTGTACCAAGTCAAGAATTACTTAGAACAACAGAAAGTAAGAAGTTGTGGAGAGCCATGATTGCCAACATTTAGAAGGGACATAAAGAGACCAGTTGAGATAGAGATCACTTTAATGACATTACTTGAGAATAATCAACATTATATAATATTGTCAATAGCTTAGTTCTTTTTATACATGGTTTCTGTTAAAATTTAAACATAACACAATTGTTCTATTTTTGAAAGAAATTATGACAAACAATGAAAATGCATCCAACATTGAGCAAGTGAAATGAATTACCACCAACTGTACCAAAAGCTGGTCTTCATCCAGAGAAGGAAATACTGTGTATATGCTAAGATTGAGAGAAGGTTCGCTCCTATGAGCTCCTTTTAGAGAATCAGACAATTGATTGAAACAAGTATTGCACCCAGTTAAAGGCATCCATCAGTGAATAGTGTCTAGAATTTAAATTAACAGAAGGAGCATGATATTTCATCGATAACACTACACTGGGTGTTTGATCAAGTACAATTTGTTACAGCTTAGCTAAAAAGTTTTTACTCATTGCCATATTTAGCAGATATTACATCTACAGATTATCGTTTATTTTGGTCTTTACAGAATTGACTTAATGAAAAAAATTAAATTCCCTGGAACACTGAAAAAGGCACCTAGACTATTTATTTATTGAAAAAGATAAAATACTCTGGAAGGATGACATTATAAAGTTGCCTGAATGATGGTAGAATTTAATGTAATGGTAAATATGTTGTGCAATAAAGTTACTGATAACATTTTTTAAATTGTCTTTTATTTTGACTTAATAAAAAAACTTTTGGACACCTAATAGTTTGATAGTATGTTTAGAAATAAAATTTGTAACTGAGTCAAGTGAAAGCTGACATGAAATTTCAATCTTGCAGATATGAAGAAGCAAAACAATATTTATGTGAACGTATTTTGAAGGAAGAACCAGATAAAGACTGGGCAGAGGCTATTGCTGAAGCACACAGGGTTAGTATTTTGCATTCATTTATTTGCCTTGTTTTTTATTGTCTATAACTTTAAGAATCATTAACATTCCAATGGCCTTAAAAATCTACATCTGATGAAAGGGGTACTCTATGCTCCTTTCACTCTTTTTATGATATATATTTGTTATAAACTGAGAACATGTTATTTTTACACAAAATGTTAACATCTTCATTAATTAGTTGATGGAGATATTAGTACTGGTCATCAGACCAGGATCATTTCCAGTTTTTCCTAAAGGATTTAAAAGGTTTTTTCCAGGTGTACCTAATTAGAAAGGCCAACTACACTAAAACTCACCAATTGTGATGATGAGATGGCACCACTTTAATCAGTTCTATAAAATTGACCAAGTTCCTCATGTAGAATAATGTTTTGCTTAAAAGTAGTTTTAGAATAGCAGCCAGGAGGTGACTCAAAGGATGTTATGCTGATCCAAGAATGGATTATTCAAAATATCATCAAGAATACAAAGAAATTGTTTGAAAAGAAAATTGGGAAGATTTTTTGGTGTACTCAAACTATTATTAATTTTATTTTTGATTCAATTTATCAAATTTATTTCAATGGTTTAACTGCAACATTGTTAACCCCAAAGCTACATAATAGAAAATCTAGTAATTAACAAAATAGCAAAGATTTGTTCTACAAGCATGTTAACAGTTATACTTTTACAGGTGCTTATTTTATATCTTTAATTCGCATTCTACATTTAATAATAGATATATTTTAATTAAGAATTTCATTATGTCTTTATTTTTTATTAGAATGATTGGACTTAAAGGTTTTCAAATTATTTTATCCAGTAGGGTATTTTTTATTCATGATTAAAAATTTTTGGGGACTCTGAATACTGTAGATTCATTCATTTAAATTTCACTGACACCTTTGATAGCTTTATTTATTAAAACTATCAAAAGTGTTAGTGAAATTTAAATAATTTTAAAAATAATAATTTTATACTTTTACTTTCAAGTGAATCTTGTTTGATTTAGCAAACAAAATCCACTTGAAAATAAAAGTATAAAATCATTATTTTCATTTTTTTTAAAAATTATCTTTCTACAAAAATAAAAGATTAAATCTGCTTAGCAGCAGATTAATTTTTTCAGTAAAGTGGGTTGAAAATATTTTCTTCAGCAACTTGTCTAACTGCAATTCAAGCAAAGTGAGTTTTATTCATTTATATATGGAATATTTTTAAAACATTTTTCTAAAATCAATTTATCTTTGTTCTTTCAGCATTATGGATCAGGCAAATCTGAAATTGAAGCCAACGTTTGGTACTTGACTTGTGTGAAGCAGTTCCCACTTTATGGATGTACTATATTTTCCATTATACACAAAGGACTGTGGTCACACACCAGTGATTCACTGTTGGCTGTCAACATGGATGGTATAAAATTTATTCGTTCCAGAGACAAGACTGTGATCCATGATTTCAAGTACTCAGACATTGAGACAATCACTTTGGACCCTAATGACAACTATATCACTTTGGAACTGTTCAATGACAGTGGACTAGGTTGCACTCAGCGGTGTTTCATGTTTGAAACTCTGTATAAAGAAGATATAGGTCATTTGATTGAGAGCTATTCCCCATCACATGCTACATGGCTTCGACCAGAGTATGATAGTTGGAAGAAGGTAAACATGCATATATATATATATATATATATATATAACACACACACACACACACACACTATAGATTTGTCTCTTTGGTTCACTGCAACTGAAGAACTGGAGCAACTTTTCTTTTAATTTATATGCTATCAAAGAAGTAATATTGTATAACTTGCATAAGCTTCTCACAGACACACCATTTATCTCAACATTCCCAATCTTATGGACTGTGAACATTTTTATTTCACATGAAACATTTTTTTCATTTATTGTAACCATAATTGGCATTCAATGTCAGAAAAAGTTAAAACCAAACAGGAATAACCTGCCTGTGTTTTGTCAAAACATGCTGATGATATTCAATTTACTGAGACCATAGTAATAAATTAATTCAGTTAAAATACAACTAACTTCATAGTTAACTGTAAAACAGATGGCTAATTAATAATTGTGAAAATGTATTCCAGAAATGAAACTAAAGGAAATTTTAATGATGCCATATATTATCATTTAAGTTTTTCAGAAATTCTTTAGAGTCTAAACAAATTGCATCAAATGGTTATAATTATTTATTTATGCTTACTCATTCATTCGATTTTTATCATATCTTTTTTCAAATTCAATGACATGCAATTCCTTTCTCTTTCAGATGCGTATGTCAGATGAAGAGAAACTGAAATTATATGAAGAAGTTGTACGAACTCGTAAGAAGTTAATAGAGAGCAACGTTCTTCAACGTCCTCCACCAGAAGGAGGAGCAAACTTCTTTAAATCTACTTTAAGAAAGTAAATACATTTTTTTATGGAAAAGTTCAATGAAAAAATCTGACTTTTGTACAAGATCAAATCTGTGGAAGACTCAGTAGAAATTCAAATTCACTATTAATGACATTGTTAGTCCAAAATACTAACAACTAGAGTAACACACTTTGCTCCAGAAACTATGTATTAATGTAAGAGGGACTTCTGATTGTGATCTCCTCCATGCAGATTAAACAAATGCTATTTTCCATATTATATATGAAATATTGAACAAAGTTGTGTGTGCATCTAACTGCATTAAGTTTTAGTTCTATTCAAAGAAAATATTGTTTATGATACTTATCTTTTATCTTACTTATACAGTGAGTAGTAGGCTAATTTTCAAAACAAATTAGAATTATCTCATTTCTCATCAGTGGTTCAGAAAATGACTTTGTGCCAAAGTTGGATAGTTCAACAAATACCTGTTGCAATGTGATTAAATTTCACTAAAAAATTCATATAAAAAAACTTTTCTTTTGTCCATATATACTTTGTTGTGACTACATACATCTTAACAAGGAGTTAATGACTAAATACATATACTACTTAATTAAAATATTCATTGAATCAATATGTTCTTATTCATACATGTTCTTGTGTCAGATTATTATGCATTAAAATTAATATAGTTTAACCTTTTGAATTTTAGGTCCTTTCTGGAGTAAATAATTCAATTTTATATGTAATACATTAAAATAATATTAGGAAATGTGGAATGTGTGTATCCCTTAGAGTAATAGCATGTTACATTCATCCTGTTGATCTCCTTAAAGTTGCAGCAAGTAAAATTTGAATGTCTTGTTCTATTTATTTTCCTTGAACCCTGCCTGATAAATTATTTCTGATAAGACATAACTTTGCTTGATTTTTTTGTTGACCCATGATGTGTTGGATACAATATGATAAAATACACTGAATATTTTATGGTAAACAATATATGTATATTAAAAATATTTCGTTCTGTTTGTTTTTATTTAACTTCTCTATTTTATCATAACAGAAACAGAATTAGTTCCATACTTAGATATCATAGGACCAGCTGAGGAATTTGCCTTGAAGATCGCTAAGGCTCTTGAAAATGAGCTAAGATAGAAAGTAAAATAAGCACTAGAAAAGGCCAAAAATTGTCCATCCAGACCCAACAGAGTGACACCAGTATCACCATATTGCTAGCAACATGACCTTGGTGATGGTCAACTTGGACTAATTAGAGAAATTGGCAAACCTATTTAGGAATGGTAGCTATATCCATATATTACAAGCCATCCTTCACTAGACAACACCTTAACTTCATTTCTCATACAGCGAAAAGAAAGTGATCATCTGATGCCTACAACACTGTGCAAAAATCCTAAGTGGTAACACAGACACATACCAACATGAGATAAGCAATATCAAATGTCTGCTTTAAGACAGCAAACATAACATCAGCTTCTGCAGTTAAAGACTGGAGGGTTTAGGAGAAAGATCAAAAAATTACCATGCTTCTGTCTCCCTTATATCAAGAGCATATTAGTAGGTATTCAGAAGAGCTGTGATTAACTCAATATCAAGAAGCAGTCCAACCTTACAGGAATATCTCTACCAGTTAAAACTAATACAGAGGCGAACATGACCAAGAACTGTGTATTCCATCCCTTGCAAAGAATACAAAGATGAAACTATCTGATCCCGAAAAGTAAGGTTAGAGGAACATCAATTAAGGAAGAGAAAATGAAATCAGGCATAGCTGATCTTGCATGAAGAGGAAAGGGTAGTAACCAATTCCTGTGGAATTAAGTAAAAATACTAGACAGAAAAACACTGGAGAATCAGGCATCTGAAGGAATCAAGCACATATGCTAGGATAAGATGACATCCTTAGCAAGTTTAGCAGAGATTCATTAAGTAAGAAAGATAAATAAATATTCATTAAGTAAGAAAGATAAATGGCAGTGGAAGGAGCTATGATTGACAACAAGACTTCAACAGCAGCAGCGATACAATAAAGAAATGGCAACATCTGTTAAGGCAATAAGTTTAAAGCTCCAAATTTTAGCTTTAGAATTTTCCCATAGTAGCTTAGAAAATTAAAGCATTGATTCATGAATTTGGTGGCAAAGTAATGAGTTCAATCCATGGGCCAGGTGGTACAGACAGATTATAAACAGGACTAGCAATAATGAAGCACTTCTTTAGAAAAAAAACAAGATATCCATAAACATGGGCAACACAATGAGAACAATCTACTCACAAGATTAAACAAATGAAGGTTTCTGTTCAAAATTCCTTGAAGGTCACTCAGATTGACAAATATCTGAAGAAGCTAAAATGCAATAGTAAAAATAAAAATGAGGACATTAGTCTGTCTGTAAATAATATAAATAATACAGAATTAATTAAATTTGCTTAAAAAGTAAAATCTATTTATGCTTTTATCTCTGTAATTATAATTTTTTTATAAATATAAAATTTAGATAAAAGTGAACACAATGGAATATATTGCATAGTTTTACTGATTTACAAAACACATGAAGAATTCTTTATGAATTAATTATTTCCCCAAATTCTTTTCTCAATGTTTTTCTCATGCTGTCTCTTTGTACTGGTTCATTTGCATATAGGCTACTTTTTTTGGAGTTTACACCTATTAACTCATTTCTCCCCATAATCATGAATTATTTTCTTTTATCCTCTCTAGTAAAAGTTGTTTTTTTTTTCCAAAATAATTAATTCATGATTAAATTAACTTAATGATTTTTTTACCAGATTATTTTCATCATTTCTTTTTTTTTGGTGGGGGGGGATCAGTCTTTCCTCTATTTGACTATTTACATTTCTGTTTGTGTTATTAGGCTAACAAAAACAAAAATTGAATATTTACGGCAGTATGCAGAGGCAAGTGGGCATGACCAGTTTAGTGCTGGGTATTGGTCATATTGCAAGCTTCCACCAAAACAGGCAATGATGACATTTAAAGAACAATTCCTGGAAGAAATGGCTGTCAAGTTTGCAGGCAGTGTGCTGGCATATTCAGGAGTTGAAGACAATGGTAAGGTAGCAAGTGTTTAATTTTTGACGAAAATAAAAAACGGAATTTAAGGTTGGAAATGGCCATGAGAATTAAATATATTACCAGTTTTGAGTTTTCATTATAATTTAGCATCATTGTCTCTTTCTACAAAGATCCTTATTTTGAATCCTTAAAAAAATGAATTAAAATGTGATTCTAATATTTAAAAGTAATGTCACAAACTAATGAAATTTTTATTTTATTTTTTCCAGTCAGTGATATTAGTGAACAGACTGAACTAATTCAAACATTTGTACAGCGCTGTATGGAATGTATATTCTTATGTGATGAGTTGTACTTGCAAGCAATCAAGCAAACAACTGACCACCCAGGTAAGTAAAGAACACATTTCTCTATAACACAGCAATGAAAAATATATATTCTCATTTGGTAAACCATTACTTGCAATTTTGTCATCCATAAATTGTAAATACTTTATAACAAAGACAAATATTTAAAAAAAAACTATTCTGATCAGAATCCCCACATTGCTTGCCATAAACTTTTCATTTTTCACAAATCCTTTAAAAAAATCTAACATAAGTTATGTTGGCATTTTTTTAGATGGCAAAATATCAGTATTCTATACTTTATCACTTGCATCTTAACTGTTATGCTCATGTTTCACTTGTACCTTGTTGTACTCAGTAACATTATCAGAATTTTGAACCAAACCCTTTATTTAATCTTGTGAGGTAGACTGTTTTCATTCCACTTTCCCTCTTTCATATCAGTTAATAGTCACCAGTTTTATTCACCTTTGTGTTGTTTGTCTATATGAAAAATATGAAACTTTTCAGCAGTACTACCATATCCAGGAATTAAACTCACAACAATTAGAAAATGAAATATACTTTAACCCGTTAGGCCATGTGTCTTAATGTCTGTAAACAGTCGGTAGAATTTATGAAATACAGTTGATACTCTCAGAGAAAGAAAAACATACTGTTCAATAATATATTTATACATTGCTGCATTTACTTGTAACTGTGTGAATGAATGGTCCAACACTGGTACCAAAGAATATCAGTACACTACCACCATAAAATTCAACTAATTTTTTTTCATATATTTGAGAAGCAATCTCTCACATTTATGCCATCAAGCATACTGCCTGCCATCAGAGCCAACAAATTTTTCTTTCAACACTCAAGAATACACTTGCCCAATTTTCATCAGTTTAGACATCAGTCTCATTTGTTTTAATAATAATAATAATAAAGAGTTAGTAAATATCTTTTTTCTGACTTTATTTATTTATTAAGTAAAGAAGAGAAAATAGCAAATGTTTTGATCAGATCCAAATGAGAATTTAGTTGTGACTTTTGTTGTATATTCTGTTAAACAGGATTGGAAATGTTTTTCTAAAACAATCATTAAAAATTAGTGGATTTTACTATCAACAATTTTTCCATTTAATACAGAACCAAATAGCAATGTGAACAAGAGAAATTGGCAGATCTTGTCCATATTGACAAGTACTTTAGTGCCATCTAATATCATGATACTTAAGTACCTGCAAGTCCATCTACGGAAATGTGCCATGGATACAGCTACAGAAGAAGGCAAGTTTGCTCGGATGGCTTATAAAGTAAGTAATCAGGGGGTGGGACTTTGTAATGTTGTGGATGCTAATCTGAAAACGTAATCAAGTCACAATGAAGCTTTGTTTTACATTGTTGGTTCATTGATATTATGCTAAATTTAATATTTCTGGATCCCTTAATCTCTATGATGCATAATTAGGATTTTTTTAAAGTCACCATTATAGATATTATATCTAGTGAAATATAATTATCTATAAAAGTATTTGAGTCCACTTTTTTGTTTTTCTGATTATACAGATTTTTTTTTCATGCCAATAATATATTTTTTAAATAAAATTAAAAGTCTATCATTGAACTTTTGCTTTTCCTTCTTTTGTTGATTGATATCATAAAAAAATTTCCAAAGAAATCAAAATGATAGGAAAACAGGGAAGATGAGACAGAAAGAAATTGTTAAGAATTACAGAATTTCAAGAAATGGCATCTCAGAAATTCTCTTAAAGCCCAGTGTGCAAGAGGTATGGAGAAATTGGAACAATTCATGAGGACTGCACACAATGTCCAAATTGTGCTAACTGTAAGCAAAATCATACTGCTGACTCAAAAATGTGGAAAAAGGAGAAAGAAATTTCAAATGTAAAATATACTCAAAATATCTCATTCCTAGTCACCAAAAATGTACACAAACAACAACATATGCTAACGCCACCAAAACACATGCACCAATTCCTCCCAAACATGGATGCCAGAGATTTGAATCTCTGATAAATCAATTGGATGGAGTAAATCCAGCAGAAATCCCAAACAAATTGAGGGCCATTCTCAAGGAACTGAAAAGCACCATAAACAGTAATGAGAGACAAGTGCCATCAAAAAACTTTACTCTACAACATCAAAAATCTGTACAAAGAGCAAATACAATTCCAGGCCAGAGTGAAAAACTCCATAAAAATCATCTGACAAACAAGATCAACCCACAAAACAAGAACCTATACAATCAAGATCCCACTCAAGATGAAGACCCATAACCCCAATACAAAACAGCTTCAAAGGTCTGGAAGAGATGGTGATTGAAGATCAGAACACTCACACAACCAAAACTTCAAAAAATAAAAAAAATAAAAACTCCAAAAATGAATTGGGTACTGAAGACATCAGCACTACAAACTCTGCTCTCTCATGACACAAAATTAAACATTATAGAATTGCCAAGACCTAAAAGCAAACCTAATTGAACTATTATTACTTCTAATTAGCCTATTTTTACCATTGTTTACCTTCAAGAAACCTTCATGAAGCCAAATTACAAAATCAAAATAAAGCATTATGCCAAATGCAATCATATACATAAAGGGTCTCCAGAAGAATATCAATTCTAATTAGAAATGACATCTCTCAGAGCAAAATACACTTGGGAACCAACCTACAGACAGTAACAGTGAAATCTATCCTACATAGAACCATTAATATCTGTTTTATTTACATCCCAATATATATGACTCTATAAAAGAAACTGATCTAAACAAAGTAATAGACCAACTCCCTAAACCATTTATACTAGTAGGTGACTTTAATAGCCACAATTTTATATGGGGTTCCCAAAACACAGAAAAAAAAGGGTAAAAACTTGGAAAATATAATAAAATCAACTTATGCCTCTTCAACAAATCCAACACATACTTTTGCCTTGCCACAGACACCTACACAACCATCAATTTAGCATAATTCAACCCATTCAATCTATATGGGTTTCAACTGGAAAATCCTTGAGAATGCTTATGGTATTGACCACTTTCCAATTGTTCTAGAAAACTTTGAGCCTGACACCATAAAACTCTCATACTAGAAACTAAGCAAATTGAGAAAAATTCCTAAATAAATGTAATCAAGAATTAACAGAAAACAACTAAACTGCAGAACCAATCACCTACTTCTCAAAAACAATGATATCTATAGCAAAAAAAAAACTATACCAAAAATACAATTTGAAACAAACAAAGCTGACCATGGTCTAATAAAGACTGTAAAGAAGTTATTAAAAAACATAGAGAAGCTCTGCACAAATTCAACAACAATCCCACAACCATTAACTGAAACATACTTCAAATGCAATGAGCAACAACATGATGAGGGCAAAAAGAAACCAAGCAAAAGTCTTGCAGAAATTATCTAAGCAAACTAAACTCCACTACAAAATCAAAAAAGTTTTGGATTTGATAGCAAAAATTACAAGAAAGAAAAAGTGAACTCCCATTAAACCTTTATCATTTAAAGTATTTAAAAACCAAATGTAAAGACATACAAATGTTAAGAGTTCTAGCACACATAGACTGGGAAGCCGACAAAAAACTTTTCTTAAAATATACAGATCAACAATCCGTGCAAAACTTGACTATGTAATCTTCATATATAGATCTGCCAGACCATCATATCTAAAAACTGCTCAACACAATCCAAAAGAAAGGTCTAAGGGACCTTTAGGAAATCTCCATAGGAAAGCCTGCATATTCATGAAATGCCCCTAAACCTTAGAAGTCAAAAACTATCCCTCCAATATGTAAGCAAACTTAAATCCAGCCCAAATAAACTAGCCTATGAATGTACTTTCAATCCTAAATATTGTTTGTTATTTGATAATAAAAAGAAAACTATAAAAACATTTTGACTCTAAAAATCAGAAATGAACATTCAAAATATACATAAGAACATCTCATCTTGGATAATTAAAATACCTGAAATTATATTAAATCTAAGCAAAAAATTCAAAAAAGGATTATACTAAGAAGAACTAAACATCAGACTACTCTGAAATTTACACCAATGGATCCAAAGATAATAACAATACTGGATGTGTCTAAAACATACTCCCCCAAAAATATCTACATAAAGAAGCATTTATATTCAGTGCAATAAATCTGGCCCTTGACCTTATATCAGAGAGTGACCAGACAAAATTCATTATTTTTTCAGACTCAGTGAATTTACATTGATTTAAAAATAGGAAATAAAAACCCACTGCTAATCAAAATACTAAACAGACTTCATGCAATCAGTTAAAACAGATTCTACTCTTCTGGCCTCCAAGCCATATTGGAATTGGTAGGAATGAAAAGGCTGATACTGCAGACAAATCAGCACTAAGTCAAGAACCTGAAAAATTTAAAATCTCTTATTCAGATGTCAAATCAAAAATAAATAAGCATATTACCTGTGAATGGCAAAATTAACAGAATACACAAACAATAAATTACACAACATCCAACTGACCATTAAGAAATGGCCCCCACGACATAGGAAAGCAAGGAAAGAGGAGGTACTCCTTGTCAGGCTCCAGATTGGCCATCCCATTTCATACATTTTCATTTACTTAAAAATGAACCACCTTCAACATGCAACAAATAGCAAGTTCCCCTCATAATAAAATACGTTGTTATAGACTGTAAAGAACTTAACCAAATTTGATTAAAACATTATCAGATACAGAACATAAAAGATGTTTTCAAAACCACAGAACTCAACATTTTGAACATCTTAAAAGAAATAAACCTTTTAATAAAATTTAAAAAATGAGAACCACCACTCACATAATACAAATAGCAAAACCATCCCCTTATTCCAAGCAGGACAAAATGCAAATACAACCAACTTAAATTGGCTTTGAATAACCTACTAAATACTACAAATAAACAAACTGAAGGTTGCTCTTCACAACTTTAACCCCATTTCTCATTTTCCTTTATATGTCCATTTAATATATTTATATTAATAAATATATTAAATGGGCATGTCATTGTTTGTTTAAATTCCATATTTTTGACACTTATTTTTGCTTGGACTCACATGAGTTTGCCAATATTGTTTGCTGGACAAATGTCCTAAAAGCTAATAAATATTTATTGAAAAATGTCCACACTTTACAACAAGTGATGAGCCTACAACATAATACAAATAATAGACTATTAATTTTCCTTTTAAAGTACTTTTCTTTTTAAAAACACTTCATCTAACTTGGTTTATGTGAGGTGGCCAAAAAACTTCTGCGCATTTTTTAAAGTCATCTTGCAAATTTAAGTAAGCTAATAATTTCACCAATAGAAATATGACGTCAAACATCTACCTATAAACTGACAGCTATTACAAATTTACAGTAGTTTACCAGGTGCAACCTTTTGTATAGTAAAATATTAGTAGTAGATATTTTGTACTTATTCAAGATTGTTACATTGTTTTTGAAGTATTATAAACCTATATATCTCCAAGTCAGAAAGATGAAAAAATATATGATTTTTCATAATTCTCCTCCTTTTTTATAGATGCAAGGAACAGATTAATAAATCACTTTATTTAAAAAACAAAAAAAGATAAATTAGTCTATCATTTTTTTTCTCTAATCAACTCTGAATTGGTTAAGCATCTCACTTCACACAGCCTTCATTCAGATAAACAATATGGCTTTCATTTCTTCATGTCAACGGCTGATGTGTTAATAGCTATTACTGAATGTGTATATTAAGCTTTAGAGGCTCAGACTATGGCTTTAGATATTTCAAAGATGTTTGACAGTGTTTCTTCACAAACCCAAGTACTATGGTATCTCTGGCCAAATATTTAACTTGATCCACTCATATTTAACAAATTGTCCTGGCGTGTCAGCTTCCACCACTTTCCTACTACCATAAAGTTGCTTCCCTGTGCCTTTTCTATAAATACTTTCATGTCGACTATCTGGATGAGCTCTTCACTATTGTACTTAGATTTTATGAATGTGCAGTACTAGATTGTACTAGTACTAGACATTTCATCAACTTAAAGTTGAATTGGCTAGATATAACTGTAAGTTTTATACTAATAGTCAATATTGCTACTAGATGCACTCAGGATACCAAACCAATGATTATTAACATCTGGCTTATTTATTTTAGCCTACAGTCATTATTAAAGTGAGTTGAGAGTTCCTATTGATATTATATTACTTATTGTAACTAATATAAAAATGCCAGAAATTTTTATGCCTTTTCTTTTTTTTTTCCAATTAATATATGCACACAACTTTTGCTTCATTTATCTTATATAAATGTAAACTGAAGACATGCACAGATTTAATGCTAAGCATTTGTTTATTGGCTATATCGAGAGATAAATTGGAAAACATAGAAAACTCAGTGGCTTCCTGTTTTCAATTTCAGAGCTTAATGAGAACACTTGAAAAGAAGACAAGAAAGCTGCCACCATCTTGTAAAGAAATATATTGTATTGCCCAAAGGTATGTCACTTTTATAAATTTTCTCTTCTTTTGCTTTAAATTTGTTTCATGTGATAATATATCACTGAGAATTTAATGTATATATTGCAAAAAGAAATGCCTTGTTATAGAATGCTCAAATTGTACAGATTCTTAACTTTTTTCTTGTTACATAATCAAATGCTTTCCAAACACCTCTAGCTAATAAAAACCCTTTTAGCAATTTAGTGTTCTTAACTAATTTTGTTTTTTCTTTTCCCCAGGAAACCTATAGCTGAACGCATATATTTTTTGAATGGAGAACAAAGAATTGTAGAATTTGATTCTGCAGCCACTTGTGGCGAAGTGAGTGACTAATTTTAAAAATACACAACATTCATAATAGTGAATATAAACATAATTTTGTGTTTTGCTTTTATAATGGTGACATGTACATAAATCCATCAATAAATCTACAGCTTATTGAAAAAAGCATCTCTTGCTTTCTCACTTAATTCATTGGTAATATGAAATAGAAAGACTGTGTTTAACAAAAATAAATGGTCAGGGTATTTCTAGTCTTCTAAGGCAAACAGTCTTTGCAAGCAAATTGCTCAATGAAAGCATTGAATGAAAGCATTAATAGCAAACAAATTTTGTCAGAATGAGAAGATAACATTTCACAGAAATTTTGAGTTGGGAAGATAAAGTAAACATTTAATTGTATTTGTTTGCTAGATTGAACATTATAAAGTGAAAATTTCAAATCTAAAAGTCACTGTCTGTCTGTGTGTTAATTGTTGCAGTTTTTCACTCAATTATTTGATTTTTGTTTGAATTTTGTGGATCAGGAGTTATCATTATTTGCACTATTTGCATATGGACTATTCTCATCATTGTTGTTGTTATTATCACAACGTTTCAGTCATTGTGGCTTCTATCCTTCATCAGATGAATGTCAACCCATGTAACCTATTCTATTTTTATAAATTTGTTTATTTCAATGCATCCACAAAAATAGCAATCAAGTTTAACAATATCTATTTCTTATAAGAGTTCAAGAATGCCTATAAATAAGGCAATAATAATTTGTCTGCTTATACAATATTTTGTATATTTTTGATTAGGAAAATACAACAGCAAATTCAATGCAAATAATTTAGTAAAATGTTTTCACCATACTATCGTAAAATAATATTCACTACAAAATATATCAACAGAAAGATAAATCTCACAAATGTCTTAATAATTTATATATTCATTTAGACTCTTTGCAGTATTTATTAACACATTTTATTTATTTAGTCCTATACAATAATTTTATTTTTTTTAGTGATGATATTACATAAAAAAGATGTTAAATTCTCTTTCTTATGTTCTTAGCAATTTCATGGCACCCAGTTTTTGCCAAAATTTGTAACAGCTTGATGTACAGCCCATAACTTGATCTTAGATAATGTCTTAATGATTTTGCATCTTAATTTGAATGATTTAATTAAAATATTTAGGAAATAACTGAGACCTTACCTGAAAGATGATAGAAAATTCAAATCTCTTCAAAAAACAAAAAAAATATAGAGAGCACAAGTAGATATCACAAATATATGTACCTCTACAGATTCATGTTACCTAAGATTTAAAATGAAAAATCTTTTTTGATTTTAGTTTCAATTTCAAGTTAATAGATGAAATATAATATTTCCAAGAAGCAAAATACTTTGTTCTATTTAAAGACCAATTTAAATTGATTGGAAGGAGTTTTTTTTGTTTTGCTAAAAAATCTGATTTCAGTGCTAATTTTAGCCCATGTTTATTGCAATGTAATTCTCTTTATTAAAATATCTTCCAAAAATAAAATATACTTTTTAGAAACTTTATTTGAGGAATATTAGCTGATTTAAAGTATAATTAACCTGATTTAAAACAAATATTATTTACTTTAAGCTTAAAATATCACAGAAATGCATTTTTTTAACATGGCAGTAGCTGTTTATTCAAGATGTTCACATGCTGACAGCTTGATAAGAGATGGATTAATATTTTTCCACCAAGGTGGAAAGGGTCTTCTATCTATAAAAAAAAATAATTGAAAAATATAACATAAGTGACATTTTATATATTAAGTACTCAGTAATCTTAAAAATTTTGGAAAATATTCTTTGTAATCTAATGTTTTGTTGAATTTTAGATACTTTGGCTTTAAATTTACTATAGTTATCACTCTTATTTTCTGATAATGTTGTGCATGAACACCCATATATTTTTTTAATCATTTCACCCCAAGCCAGGCAGGAATGCCACTAGTACACAAGGTATTACCGAGAATGAAAATGAGAGAAAAGACTTTGAGGAAAGGATGAAAGTTGAATGAGGTTAAAAAAAAATCAGCATGTTTATACACATACAAAATAATTCAAAATTATTTTTAAAATATTGGTGTTTGAAGAAACGTGCTAGTAAATATAGTTTTTAATTAATAATAATATCATCTAAAAGGGTAAAATTAATACAGAATTTTAAAAGATGCTTAAACTTTTAAACTTTAAAATTTTAAAAAATAATTCTTCTAAAAATTAATTATTCATTGAGAAAGAATTTTTCTTAAGACAATAGTGTACTTAATATATCTTATTTATAAAAGCAATTAAAAGCTTTTCTAATTAAATAATGTCTTAGTTTTATTGCATTTTTTATTTTACAATTCAAAGCAGATTTTCACTAAATGGTGTTTTTGTTTTACAAAAAAAAATTGGTGATTTAAATTCTCCAATGAGTACCAAGATTTTATTAAAAGCAAAAAATTCTAAAATAATTTCATTTATTTGTGAATAAGTCCTGAAAGTTTCATTAAAATCTGAAAATTATTTGATTTTTGCAAGAATTTCTAAATCAGTTTGTCTGTTATACAAAAAGCTGCTAAAATTTCCTTTGCTAATTTTTGGTCCCTCCTGCTGACAGAAGAAAAACAACATTTTTAACCAAAATTGTGAATGTGCCAGAAAAGATTAAAAATCAAATTAAATAATCAAAAAATACTTTGGCCTTTTCTCTTAATGACAGCATGCATATTTTGATACTAAAACTTTGTTTTATCAAGTTTGGGGCATTTTTTCATCATGGTATGCTCTTTTTTCAGTAGATTAGTATAGGTACTTACAGAAGTAGGTATCAAAAGCCATGATTATTTTTCAAGTGTTTGTTTCCATATTATAATTTCAATACTTTTTTTTTTGTTTTTTAAGATAATAAAAACAGTGAAAGCTAAAATAGGCATGCGCTCTGATGCAGAATGTTTTGCTCTCTATGAGTACATTGGTACTACAGGTGAGTATTCTAAGTAATAGTGTATTTTGAGATTAAAATGTTTTCTTATGGCTCTGTATTCATCTTTTATATTCAGAATATAAAATAACAACTAAATATGGAATATGGTAATGAGCAAAGTTTTAAAAATGTTCTTTATAAATGAAGACAAAATCTTGACAAATGAAATTTTTTGTTTCAATCTTTTGTACTGTAAGTTCAAAATGCTTCCTACAATAATTTCAAATAAAAAAAGTTTTGTTGCCATTTAACAAACTAGTGAATTGATTATATTTTTATCTATAAATTTGGTACTAAAACACGTGCTGACTATAAAATTGCAAATAAGAACAGAATTATCAATAACAAGAAAACACTTAAGGCATAAGAAAAATTAACCCACAAAATTTTAAATATAAAAGTTAAGGAATTCTTTTATATTACCACAAAAAGATGAAAATATTCAAAGAGCATTTTCATCTCTACAATGAAAAAAATACTATTAAAATCATCAAAAATCTCTATAACCAATTTTACAATTGGAATATAAAATTTTTATATATATAGTAATAAACAATACTTATTAGAAGAAAAAAATATCAATCATAAAAAATGAGTATAATTTATGTAGTCAAGAATTTCTCTACTGGGGAAATATAAAATCTGTGCAATTTTCACTTTGGCTATCTGAAAGTTTAAAACCAATTCCTATTTAAGTTTAATCCATAATTATAAATTTGGTTCCAAACACAGTAGCAGCATAAATTATTTTTTCTCTCTTTTAATGAATTCATTTGTAATACTTTCAGAACGCAATATGTCTTCGGAAGAACGCCTTTCAGATACTGTCAGCAAATGGGAACGTCTGATGAAGACTGGCTCCAGTAGAGATCCTAGACTTATGTTTAAGGTAATAATAAATAATTATTAAAAATTTGTGAATTAATAAATCCCATGATATTAACTGACCAAGTAAAGCCCAAACCTTGTTTTATAATGTTATCACTCTGAACAAATAGAAACATATACAAAGATTATAGTGTTTAACAGATAAATTTCAACTGTCTTAAGCAGCGAAATTAATTTAGCATAATTTATTCATTGTTTTGTTTATTGAATATATTGATTCCTATAGACTTGGGAGATGTTTATATAATAACAATCTGATCAAGGATGGTATAACGGTCATTGGCATGGGAAATAAAATCGGGAAACTGAGTTTAAATTCCAACCTAGTCTGTTGCATTTACCTTCATGCCAATGTCCTTGGGAAAGGTATGAAACTATCTCTTTTCTCCTCAGCTATGGGTTAAATAGCATGTGAGACTTGACCGTGTGGCAGCCAGTCTAGGAAGAGGACAAAACTATGGAGAAGGCAATGGGAGACTACACTATTATCATTTCCAAGGAGTCTTAGCAATTTATCTTCAATAAAGAAAAGGAATCAGTGGAAAGTCATGATAGTCTATGTCCTGAAAGGACATGACATAAAGAAAATGTCTAGCATAAGTTTAGTGAGAGTAAACCAAATAATAGCATTGAACACATGATAATGATTGCCATTTCTTTTATTGCAGTTTTTCTTTTTTTCACCTGCTTATAAACAGCTAAGCTGCTTTTCAAGTGATGAAAACTAATATTTTATTTCTTACTTGATCTTTAATTGACCTGAAATATTTGAAAAATTTCCTTTTTATTCTGACACAAGTTATAGTCAATAAAAATAATTCATTGATTACAGAATCTTTCTTGAAATAAGGTATGTGGAAGTCTTAAATAACTTTAATAGGAATATATTGTTCAACTCTAACTCATAGTTGAGAATTACAAATCCTTGTAACTGGGATGTACATTCTCACCCTGAAGAGGGTGTATCAATGTATTCACTATGTATTTAAAAGAATTAAAAAATGTTTGTAAAAAATCTGTATCATGTTAGAAGTATCATCATAGAAGAGAAATTAAAATATTTTTACTTTTTCACCACATGTATATATATTTATGCTGATATTTATTAAAAGATGGTTAAGATTTTTTGATGAGAAAGGAACTTTGCTTTTGAGTTTGTTAAAATTATGCTGAATGATTTTAAGTTGCTTAGTATATCAAAATGTTTTTTAGCAGTGAAGCATAGTAATATATATATATATATATATATATATATATATATATATATATATATATATATATATAGGGTGTATTTAGGCATCATTTTTTTTCATTAATGCATGTTTCATTAAATAATATAGACAAGTTTTGTCGATTTATTTAAAGTAAATTCCTTTCATATTGTCAAATAAGCTTTTTAGCATTATCACTGAAACACGAAAGAAAATCACTATGTTGATACCTGTTTTAATTATTAATCCTGTCTTTGCTTTTGGCTTACATAAGCCATCATCAGAGATTACAAGTACATTACAATAAATTAAGTAATAAATTACAAAGATGGTAATTTTTTGTTTTAGAATGGTTATGCAGATATTGAAACAATGATAGTTTTTGTTTGCATGGAAGATTGCTATGCAGCGATAAATTCATGCATATGAAACGCAGGAAGCTAAATGTCACAAGGCAGTTCATGATGTCCACATGAGAGTGAAAATGAAGACAAGTTTTAAGTATGGAAAGCCATTGGTATAAATCAATAGCTCCTGTTATCAACTATAAACATTTAAGTATATTTGTGGAGTTTTCATAGTTTATTTTGTCAGGTTAGATTTCAACTGTTTTATGTAAATAGCTTCAAGAATTTTTAGTTTTTTTTATTGTTTTCCGGGTTAAGTATTTTCAACCAGGATTTTCCAGAATTGTGTATGTAGCCAGGCATGTTGTTTTAAATGCCTAAAAATGTTGGAATTGTCATTCAAATGGAGAGTTAAGTGTCATGAAAGCGAGTTTGTGGTTTGACCAACATAAATATTATTTAATCCGTTGGAGATACAATTTCCCAGAGGGCATGTTGGTTTTCTGTAAATTGCTAACAGGCGGGGAAGAATCATTGCAAATAATTAAGTTGGATATGCTAGATTTAGTGTAATATATGATTAACTTAATTTTTTTGCTAGGATCTGTTGTAGATATATTAGTATTTACCAATTTTTTTAGTATATTTTCATCTTGTTTATAATTAGTATGCGTTTGATTATGATATAGGAGATTAATATGTTTGAGATTAGTTGAAGCAGTATTATGTTGTATTTGCTTTGTATTGAGACTTCTGAGAAAGCATCTTATTTGTTCATCAACTATATAGTTTGGAAAGCTATTATTAATAAGTGTTTGTTTTATATTGTTTAGTTCACTTTAAAAAATCTGTTTTGTGGATGAATTAGTTTTTGCACAATGTATTAGATTTTTTATAATTGCTATTTTGTAGTAATATGGACATTCACTCTTATAGTTAAGTGTGCACGAATTTATGCTGATAGGTTTTTTATATGGTGAAATAGTAAATTTATTATTATTTGTGTTTATTAATATGTCTAAGAAGGGAATTTTATTAGTAGTATTAAGTCCATATGTGAATTTAAGGACAGAATTATTTTGGAAGTATTTTTGAAGTTCATCTGTATTTTTAACTAACATAAGGATATCATCAACATATCTTAGGTAGATGGAAGGTTTTTTAAAATCTGTAAATATCTTATTTTCAATATTCTTATTTCATGTAGAAATTGCTAAATATCGGACCCAGTACTGAACCCATGGAGACACCATCACATTGTATATATGTATTATTATTATGATCTAAGAAAGAGACTTTGGTAGTACAAGTTAGTAGTAGTTTCCGTAATATATTAGGATTGATTTTAAGTATGGGTAAAGATGAGTTACTGTATATATTTCTTTTAATTATGTCAATAGTTTCACTAACAGAAACATTGGCAAGTAACTTTTCAACATCAAGTGAAGCTATGATTTCATTGTTGGGTTTTTAACTTTTTAGGATTTGGATTGCTTCTAATGTTGACATAACACTATATTTACTAGGAAGGTAGGGAGTAATGATTTGGTTAATGTATTTTGTTAGCTGATATACAGGAGTTGGAATTTGCGATATGATAGGGTGGAGAGGATAGTTAGGTTTATGTGTTTTTATAGTGCCATATATGTAACCAGGTCTATAATCAGCTACAATTTTAGGAAGTTTTAAAGAGTTCTGTTCAGCATTATTAGCATTAATGAGTTTATTGAACTTTGATTTTAGTTGCTTGGTCAGGTTCTTGTTGAGTTTTTTAGATTTTATGTGATCATGGAATATGTGGTCTATTTTTCTGTTGTAATCCAATTTGTTTAGGATGACAAAACTGTTGGTCTTTTCAGCTTTTTTTATATAATATATATATATATATATATATATATTATATAAAAAACATATGTTATAGTTGATAACAGGAGCTATTGGTTTATGATACTTAACACTTTTCTTCATTTGAAACCGAGCTCCAAATTTAAAGTTTAAACCATAAAGTTAAATTTTAAGATTTGAGCTTCAGTTTTGAAACATAGTAATTTCTATGTCGTGATGGAGATTTAAAAAAAAAAAAAATAATTATAATATTATGCCCTACTTTGTATCGAGCAAAAAAATAATTTTTTTTTTTAAAATAAAAATAATAAACTCTAAGTTATAAATCTGACTATTCTTCCCTATTATTTGAATATATCCATATATATATATATATATATATATATATATATATATATATATATATGTAAACTGAAGAAGTTACAAAAACAAGACCATTTCAAGTTGTGGGTGCTTATAAGTCAAATTTTTATTCCTTCACAAAATAACTTCTTCCATGCCCCAGAAAATTTTCTTATGTGATTTGAAATTATTTCTAATTTGATTTTCTTTTTTGTTGTTATTGTTATTTTAAAGAAACGTTTATTCATTGAACCTTACACAAACACTAATGATGCTGTTGAATGTGACCTAGTCTTCCATCAGCTAGTTGAGGACGTCTTTGAGCAAAGAATTCCAATCTCACCACAAGATGCTGTAAGTCTTCCTTGTTTTCACTGAGTTGCATTCATACATTTTGTGCTAAACTAATCTTATGCATATAAAATATAATACTTTATGTATGCACTGTTTATAATGATTTTAGGTGTTTATTGGAAGAAAGAAAATTACTGCACTACTCTCTTGATAGGAAAACTAGTGAATTATCCTAGTTAAATCATATGCAAAATTTGCTTTAACTAAATGAACTAATAATATTCATTGTTAGTGAGTTTTTCAACAATTTTTTTGAATCCAGTTTTTTTTTGTTTTTTTTTTTCTGTCCTATAGGTTCGACTCTGTGCCCTGAAGCTCCAGTCTGAAAATGAGGATATTCGCAGAGGAGAAACTGATTACAGGTAAATATTTTGACATTTCTATATAAGTGTCTATTTATATGACTAAGCCAAACATTCATGGTTGAAGTTAAATAAAAAAAAGAACATTAAAAATCATGCACTATTCAAAATTATGAGAAATTATAACTTTAAAACTGAGATTTTCCACTAAAACTTTAAATTCCATCATGTGCACTATATTTATATAACCGGGATACTTATCAGCAAACTGAGTGCAGTTTTTCCCCAATGGTAATATTAGCTGTCTCCTTATAAGAAAACATTTGGCATTTATTTCAGCTGAAATTTATAAAATCTTTCTCTTAAAACAATTTTTCAGGATTAGTAGATTTCTCAAGTTCAGTAGCTGTTCCATCTTTTCAGTATTGATGGGGAGCTTCCTTCATTGCCTTTTCTTTGGGGTAGTGTGGAATATTAGCATCTTAATTATATTATTATTCTCTTTTTCTGTTACTTGTGATATTCATTTTAGTTGTTGCTTTGAAAGTTTTCAAGTGATGTGGTTTATGTTATCTGGTTCAATTGTTTGTTTATTATCCTGTAATGCCAAACCATGAGGTTTGAACAAGGATTGTCCTCACTGAAACCTACATGCTCAAAATCATTTTTAACTATTGATCTAAGAAAGCAGTTGTATGTAGCTGACAGATATTTATAAATGAGTTTAGTGACATGCATGGCATCTATATGAAAGTCTTGATCTAACAAAGATGATTTAAGAACACAACTTTAGTTTTTATCTTTATTTTTTGGCTTTGTAGCAGCTTGCAGTGTTGAATGAAACTACCCCTAGAACAGCCAATTCTATATTCAATTTTGATATCTCCTATACTAAGTTCATTATACACTGAAGTATTTGCACCATTTATTAATTCCACATACTGAATTTTTATGAATGATACAGTGTATGCACCATCACTGCTTTCATTCTAATTGCAGATAATTGTTTCTGTTTTGGAAAAAAATTATCTTGGATCCTACTTTAATGCTTGGTAGAGGATGCTGAATTTTTTTCTTGTCCCAATGTCATCAGTATAGTCCCCCGTCACCTCACTTGTACATTGACCACAGGAGGGGAAACAGGAATGCTGTTTCTTTTAGTAGATTCATTTAGGATATGGTATAAAATGTTTAAATGATCAGTGTCCATCTCTTCTCATCTTTACTTGTATATACACTGAAAATAGTCTAGGAAGAGATTAGATAGATTAGGGCTCTCATTTTCTCCTTGTCATACTCCAGATAAAGTTTTAAATGTGTCAGTATTGGAGCCCTCACCAAACATGTATGACTTTGTGGACCTATATATTTTATAGCTTTCTTTAATTCCTCATCTTTAGGTTCATTATTTTTAATGTTTAGAGATAGTCACTGTAATATTTGGATATATATTGGTGTATGTTCTAATCCAGCAGACTTCATCAGCTTAGTGTGGTTAGGATTGAAATGTGACTCTTTTTTTTCAGACCAGGACATATCCTCTATTTTGGTTTCAATTGTAGAATGCTATCATCATTTTTCACTTTACTCCAAATTTCAACACAATTCCATGTGGTTTGTATTCATTAATTTGGTTTCCAATTTTTGGGAGACATTGAGTTCTTAGAGTGTTAATTAATTTTTTTATTTTCTCTTTTCTTTGTTAATTGTTTAGTATTCTCTCTTATGTTTTTCATTTTGTTTTCTCTTCCTCTTCTGTTTGTTTCTTTCTTGTATCATTTTGTCACATTTGTGACAAAATGATACTAGAAAGTCAAAGATGCTGGTCAATCATTTTTTTTGGTTACTTCATTTAGGCTATACCATGTGATTCAATGTTTCATGGGGTGGTCAAACTATCTGTTTAAGATAGAGTATCTTCTTGAGTAACAAAAGGATAACAGGAGCTCCTCATTTTTGTTTGAGGTTTCTGTTTCAAAAGGTGATATCTTCTTCCCATCAAAGGAGCAGTGGCATTCAAAACCACAAGGTGGCATTAAAGTCCTCATTAATGCATAATTTTTCTGTTTTTTTTTCTACAATTATTATGAATAACAATAATGCTCATTGATCAGCATATGACCAGCTACCACTCAGCACACATGGTCTGAAGATTGCATTCAAGCATGACACAAATTGTCACAAATTTGGTACTGACCTCAGTGTCCACTCTAACTTTTACACATGCTCTATCCTAGATATTGAGCACCTTTGTAGCATATATTAGAAATATTTTATTGGATATACACTACAGTTCAAAAGTTCATACAACCAAATGCTAAAGAACAAATTAGGACAAAAATTCCTTGCATTAATTGTTTAAACATTTTCCTGTACTTTTTCAATAAAAATACCATAAAATTAAGTTACAGTTGTACTGAAAACTTAGAAAAAATTATTAAGAAACATAATGCTAATATCTTGAATAAACACTTAGACCAAGACCAAAGAAATTTAGACAGTATAATAATAAAAAGAGATGAAGATAAACAAAAATTATGTAACTGCAGAAATCCTCATAACTGTCCTTTTAATAATAAATGTCTCACTGAATCATTAGTATACCAATGCAATATCTCATCTATTGAGGATCAAGACAATGTAAAAGTCTATATGGTTTAACCAACATCAAAGTTCTTTTAGGATAAATAAATACCAAAATCAGATGTCCCTATTGAAATATTTCTGGCACTTAAAAGAAACCAATAAAACACCTACTGTGAAATGGAAATTAATTAGAAAAGCTAGAATATGTAGGTCATTAAACAACCTATGTCCTTTCTGCATACATGAGAAACTATATATTACTAGGTTTATAAAAAATAAAAATTTACTTAAAGAAATGAAATAGCTATTCTCTGCTAACATTGTCAAATATTTTCCTTAAGTAATGTTTAAAAAAAATAAAAAAAAAATAAAATAAAAACTGATAAATGAAATATACATATTTATATTTGATATTTAAACAATAATTTTTAAATAATTTAAGTAATTTTATTACATTTATTTCTTTTAAAAGATGTATAGTCTATTATTAAAATTAAGAATAATATTTTAAAATTGTAGTTCAATACGACGTATTCATATACAAACAACCCTTTTAGAAAAAATCTTTATGTATACAAGTACAAATTTAACAGCGAAATGAAAGTGCCAAAAAACTTTCTGTTGTTGAAAAAGCCCCGATGACATGCGTTGAACGGATGTCATCATTCATTTGAAAAGGCACCCCTACCCTACCATGACTTAATCTCTTTTCAAAAGTAACTAATATGTTGATATGATAGTTGTCAGTGAAAAAAGAATACCCTACCACTCCTTGTTTAAATGATTGGATTTCCCCATTTCCATAGAAACTAATATTATGAATGCTTATAAAACTCAGTAAATTTCAAAATAAGTTATTCCAAAATTTGCTTGATAATGAAACAGAATTAGAGATTTTAATTTATTTCTATTACTGAATTTGAAGTTTTTAGCTTCTATTTTTGAAACATGGTAATTCTTGTGTAATGATAGAACCATATTTTTAAATAGGTAAATTTCTAGTATATATATATATATATATATATATATATATATATATATATATAGAAAACAATATATAAATTTTTATATATGAAAAACAATTTAAGGAAATCTATAACACAGTGAAAAAAGTTTTTATGTGATACATCTTGTCCTTTTTGAACATCACCGGACTAAAGTGATGTTTATGCTGATATCACTACAATAAATATAGTGATACAAACAAAGAAAAACAAAATGAAATCAGCTAGACTATATACCCAAAATATATATTTAAAAGAAAAAAAAATTCAAATTTAAAATTTTCAGCATCACCTCTCTTTCATGCACATGTGTAGCCAAATCAGTGTAAACATTAGTGTTGGGGCGCACCCACCTTCTAACTAGAAATGGACTGGTCCCTCTTATATAAGTCAGCTCTAGAGAGAGGACAGGAGAGTGTCAGCAGTCCAGATAAGGTTACCCGTTACATACCATTGGACTATAGACTTTGAATATTGTTTCGTACTAACCGACCTTCGTTTTACTAATCACTCTATTGTTAATTGCTTTTACAAATATACCAGTATTTTCCCCTACAACTGTGTTTGTCTTGATTCATACACCCACACGCGGGAAAACTCTCAACATCTCAACAATTAGTTAACCTAGTAAAGTCTTAAATGACAAAATATGTTGCATGAAAATTTTTCCACTTTGGCATATATGTCCCTAACACACACACACACACACACATATATATATTATAAAATTTGCTATGTTTATGAAGGAAGAACATTCGATATTGAAGATAATGCTTTTGTAGATATAAACATCATGGACATCAAAATCAACACAATATGGTTACTGTCAGTTGCATGCCTTAAGCAGTCATCAGACCAGGCTGTCACCATGCAATGTTGATTTCTATGTCCACATTATTTATCTTATGTAGAAGTTAGAGTCGAACATGCACATATCCACTACAAAATTGTACATATTTGTTTCAACCCTTTTTTTTTCTTTTTTTTTTTATTAGATGTCTCATCAGGTGGAGAATTACGATGTTACTAAAAATTTTATTCAGAAATACAGTTGTCGAAGCAAATATCCCCCACTTCCATTCTTTGGAAATTTTCATAAAATGTCTACTAGAATTTACATGTAGAGATGGAAGGGAATCTAATGCATTAAGTAGTCATGGGTGGATGAAAAGGAAGGGAAAATGAAAAAGGGGAAGGGAAAAGAAAGAAAGAGGCCATGGAAAGAGGGAGGTGATAAGTGCTAAGAGGCGATAAAATCTGGCCATAGAATTTCATTAGGATGTAGAATTTGAACTTCAACGGTCTCCTAGGTTGGTTAGGTAGGAGTTTCAAGTAAGAAATAACAGAAAAATAATAATTTTCAGCTAGATACAGTTAAAGTACAGGTTAGAGTGTTATGTATCTTTATATATATATATATATATATATATATATATATATATATGTATATAAAAATAAAATTAGGGGTTTTTAGCTTCTATTTTTGAAACATGGTTGGAACTGTGTAGCGAAAATAACCATATTTTAAATCAATTAATTTATAATATATATATATATATATATATTTTATCCTTCATAAATGTTCTCCTACACTTTGAAATAAATATATATATATAGAGAGAGAGAGCAAGAGTCTAATATATATGATTTTCTTATTTAATGGTTTTTGATTTTTTTTTCCTTTGTTCAGTTCAGTGATGAGAATACTGCCACGTGATATGCGGCCACATGTGAACGTTGAAGAAATTTCTGCTGCATACAAGGCACTCAATGATGTTTCACCCCAGCAAGCTATCATGTCGTTTATTCAGTTGCTGAAAAATTGGCCACTTTTTGGTTCAACAGTATTCGAAGTTTCTGTAAGTACTTGATGATAAAAACTTACTGAACCTGTAGTATAGTCGCATATTAGGATCATAAGTACAGTATAAAACTATCACTTCTAATATATAAAAGTGTGTATGTAATACATGATATAAATATATGTATAATAAAATGAGTTGTGCATAATGACAATGTTCTGATTTTATATCATAGACGGAAAAGCAAATGACTTCCTATTGTTATATTTATCTTATCTTTCTCCACATTTCAAGGCATGGCTATAAATGTTGATTGTTTTAAAAATGAACTCATACAGAAGAGTTGTGAATAAAGTGTCCTGTATTTTTTTATGATTTTCTTAAGTTTTGCTCCGGTCAACCTAAATGGCTGAATCTGTAGAGCTGAAATGACAATCAACTAATTAAGCTCCAAATGTGTCAGGCTTCTCATCATACAAATCTTATACTGACTTCACTATTTTGCAGATATTGTATCAATAGTTTTTTTTTTTTTTATAACATTACTGTTTTTATTTCAATGAATATTTTCATTTAAAGAAGAAATATGTCTCCAGTATGTAGGTGATCATAGCTCCCCATAAATTCTTTTTTCTTAATATCTGTAAATTGTAAAATGTAAAGATCATTCTCACAAAAGATAGTGCAATGGTATCCCATTACTATCTGGATGGCTTTTAATTCAGAGTCACCCTTTTCTAAGACCATGGCTAGAAGCCCAGTCTGCCCTACTATTTTCATCTATAACTGAGGGAGGGTGGTAGAATGATTCATATTTTTCTCAAGGGTATTTAGGGCAAAGTTAATACAATAGCATTTTCTCTGCTGATAACTATTGTGTTACCTGAACATTCTTAAGGCACCTATTGTTTAGCCTCTGACCTGAAGTTTGTGTAAATGTTTTAATTATCTCAAATCTTTGTTTTATCATCTTTTCCATCATTGTTCTTATACATAAATATACTCAAATTTTAAAATCTTTTTCAGCAATCGTATACATCAAGTTTACCAAAGACATTGCTTCTTGCTGTACATGAGCATGGTATCCACTTTTTGGAAATCAAAACATTTGTAAGTATCATTTATTTTTTTCTAACATTTACCTTCTGATTTTCCTTTTTCTAACAATCATTTTATAGATTGTAATTTGTTATTCCACATGAGCTCACTTCTTAATGTTTGTCCATGAACATGATCTTGTATAGCAACACTGTAGTCTATTTTGTCTTGCAGGAATTTCATGAAAAAAGATTGAAATTAAAGGAAAAAGGCAGTTAAAATTTTTATATCAGACATGCACTAAAAATTGATTAGAATAAATGCTTTCAATAGCATCAGAAGGGATCATGCCCTGGAAGTTTGTCATCAATGAACTCCTTCCATGTTTCAATTGGCTCATCTTTCATATAGTCATCCAAGTATGTTAATCGCCTACCAGAATCCAGCAAGGTGATCCACTTGGTCTGCTACTGCAATGGCTGTCAATGAGGTAGCTCATTCCATTGCCTCTCCTTTCAACATATAATATCTTGATGATGCAATCCTGGAAGGACACATCAAGGCCATAGCTGGTGACCTCCAAAAAGTTATTCTGCCTTATCTCTGCTTGCATTTGAGATTAACTCATTCAAGTCAGAGATAAATAAATTATAAATTTGAATTATAGTGCAGATGATTTCAAGGGTGCTATCTGGGATAATGAGGATATAAAGATAACTGCTAAGGAGGAATTACACATTCTTGGTTCTCCAATTTTTTCAATGGCCATTTGAGAGTGTTTGGATTCTAAGCATGTCATTCTAACAAGATTAACTAAGAAATTGCAATTGATTGATGGACACCCAGCTCTCTTCCTCTTGAAGAACAGTTTTTCTTAAACAAGACAGATATCACAGTTAAGAGATTCTCAGAGTTAATTTTCAATGTTAATTTTGATGACACAGGCTGGAGGCAGGCAAAGCTCCTTTTGAGTTTCAGAGGCCTGAGACTTTGATCAGTGGCCCAAGAATTACTTTCTGTCCCACAAGACGCATCAAAACAGAAAAGCTGGGATAAAATAAAATGCAATGTCAATTTTACTAATTTGAGACTATCTGGATCAGCACTGCTTTGTCTGTCTACTATCTGCTTCACAACCAAGTAGTGGTGCCTGGCTTAATGCAGTGCCCTCCTCATCTACCGGTACCCTTCTAGATTATGAGTGCGCTCGGGTTGGAGTTGCAATCCATCTTGGGCTCAAATTATGTGAGTGTCACAGATGCAGATGTGGAGCTTCCATTGATGAGTTTGGTTTGCATCTTCTCTCCTTTCATCGTAGTGCAGACTGCTTTCCAAGGCATGGAGCAATAATCGACATCATCAAAAGAGGTCTGGATACAGCTAGGTTCCCCTCCCAAATCGAACACATAGGCCTCGACTGTGGTGATGAAAAGCAGCCACATGGGATTACCATTTTCCTTTTTAAAATGGGGAAGTCACTAGTTTGAGATGCAACCTGTGCCAATACATTTTCAACCAGTAATTTGATCAGGTCTGTGGTTGTGCCAAGGTCTGTCACATGGGATGCCAAGATAAAAAATATAGTTAAATATTCTTCTCTTGCAGGCAGATTTATTTTACTCCAGCAGCAGTTGAGATTTCTGAGATTATTGGCCCTCATTCAGTGGTGTTCCTTTTGAGGGATGGTTGGATTGCATCTCGATAAAGAGACGAGCCTCGTGAAACAGTGACTCTTGCAGCGTGTCTCACTGGCGATGGTGCAAAGTAATAGGATAACAAAAAAAACATTTTGTTTTTGTTTATAGGTACTTTATTCAAATAAAAACTTTGTTTCAATAATTAAAAAAAAACATGGATTAGATGTTCAGCATTTCCACTTGTAATGAGCTTGTATCTTGAATGAGGCAAAGTTGCTATTCACTAATAGAATGAGATACCATATAACTTCTTGCAAGTTTGGTCCTAAAGACTACTGGCAGCTCTGTAAGAGTATGTTGAACAAGAGTAAATCCTCAATGCTCTCTTCAATTAGTTTGAAGTATTGTTATCTGCTGCTGATAAAGTAGAATGCTTTGCTTGGAAAGTAAGAAAAGCGAGACTCAGTCTGTGGCTTTGGATACCTCAAAGGCCTTTGACAGGGTCTGGCCTTTTCAACAAGCTCAAGAGTTATCGTATCTCTGGCCATATATTTGACTTAATCCAATTATTCTTAACAAATCAGGTAATGAAAGCCTGGTTAAATGACGATGCTTCTAGATCATTTTATATTAATGTGGGGATCTCCCAAGTCTCTATCCTTCGACCTACACTGTTTCTTCATCAACAACCTTTCCAATGTTATCAGTTCCGAACTAGGTATTTATGCCAATTACACAACTATTTACTCCTGTTTCAGTATTATGTCCAACAGGTAAGCACTGACAGCTGCCCTTGAAAATAATCGCAAATCAGTTTTTAACCGGGGAAAGAAATGATTTATAAATTTTAAAATGAAATTAAATTTTAAAAATGAAACTTCTGTCCTTTAATCATCAAAGATAGCCATTTTTGCCCTCTATCAGCATGACTGATGCCCTCCAGCAGAGGTTTTTTTTACTAATATGAAATGCAGCAATGCCAGCAAATGTGCTCTCCTCCTTGGTACAAGAATTTAAGTATACTACTTGATTGGCTACTAGGTCTATTGAAATAGCTAACTGGTTCTTTTCTTGCACTTTTCACCTCTGGAACTCTCTTCTGCAGATTTGCATTCATAAACCCATGAAGATGTCTAGTAAGATATATATGGAACTTACTGATTTGAGGACAAATTCATTATTGAAAATGAAATTTAATGAGTCTGTCTTAATCCCAAATATTTCTGGCAATCATTATGCTGTGAACATTTACCAGAATATTTTCTCTGAATTACATCTGCAATTTATAATGATGTGTGATAGTAAGGGAGACTTGGTGCTTATTTTATCAGAAACTTTAGAATTAAAACAAACTGGATCAATTCATTTTGTTCATAAGGCAGATCTTAGAAGAAAGTACTTTTCTGATGTTCCTTTCTTTCTCATTTTTATAGCAGAAGTTATACATGTAGCCTCCCTGATCTTTGATAGAGTTTAGTCACAAATGGCTAGACTCTGGTCCAGCAAACTTCTGCCATTTTTCAGCCAGATTCAGTCTTTTCTTCTTCCTTTTTTTTATTTGAGGGTTGTCTTCTCTTTAGTTGAGAGAGAAGTATATAAAGAGAAATTTAGAAAGAAAGAGATAAGGGTTTTAAAGGAAAGTGCAACTGCCTTATTTTAATTTTCTTTTCTTGTTTATATATATTTATGTTTTATTTTATTTTTATCAGATGTGAACAAGTTTTTTCAGATATAAAATTGATTAAGAAGAAAGTGAGATCTTAATTGATTGATCCAAATTTAAAAACTTTTTACAGCTCTCAACAAGTAATTCAATTCCAAACTAGTTTTTTGTTTTTATATTAAATTAATAAATCATATGAAAGTTGCTAAATATGTTTATACTAACTTAGTTCCTACAAGAACTAATGGGATTATTTATGGATTAGTGTCTCTATCTAGAATAAGTTCAGGTCAATGTTATATGTATACTTTCTATGTGAAAAGATTGGTGGTGGGTAAGTAGAGCTCCAGATGGTTTTCAAACTGAATTATATGTTGAAAGGACCGTTTTTATGTTTTCCTACTTTTTAAAACTTTTACATACATTTAAACATCTTACAACCATTTAGTGATTGACATCAAGTTTTTCATCCAGTTCCAATACTGACTGAGTGGAGGTATCATCATTCAAAAGAGCTTGTAAATATTCACTTCCAAATCTTTGGTGAAAACTGCTGCATGGTTTATTCTCCAAATCAAATTCACCTTTCTGAATTTCACAAACTATTCAGAACATGTACTGCTTCCAACTGAACCATCTTCATAATCAGTCACCTTTGCTTCTGCTGCTGTCTTGGCACATTTAAAAAGGAACAATGTGCAGTGTTACATGTATTTCTAGACATCTTCCATATTTTTTAACACACTAAATACTGATTATAAAACATTCAAAATCAGTGTTCAAATGTATATTCTGTCTCTATTCTTTAATAAAGAATAGGTAATTAGGAACACATAATATCTAGACAGTATAGAGAAAAATGAATGCTAAGGCAAAAATCTATCATCAATAATTCCATCAAGTCAAATTTCAGTCTCCAACTTGTGTTTTCAACATCCCATAATTGCTGAGTATTTTGAATAAAGAAAGAATAAAAATTTCCCCAATCAACTATAAATAAACTTTATTTTTTTTATTCTAGATATGAAATGCTGTTTTCTAATCTTTTAAGATAAGCTCAAAATTTTTCATTAATATCAAAATATTTTTATGAAAAAAAAACTCTAGATGGATACTTGTTAACTAATAATAATGTTTGTATCTGTCTATATTTCTGAGATGAGGTATTATGTACACTATTTACATTATTCAGACTATTGTCCTCATCTTTGTAACCATATTCCTGGATGTTCTAATATCTTGAACAGAGCATGGGTTCAAGACATCCATATATCATAAACTGACATTCACCGAACAGTACCTCAATTTCAACTCCCACCATCCATACAGCGTAAAGAAAGGGATCGTCTGCTGCTTACAACACCGAGCAAAAGTTATAAGTGGTGACCCAGAGACATTAGATAAAGAATTAGTCAATATAAGTAGTACCCTACAACGTAACAACTACCCCGGGTACATGGCAGCAACCCCAAAAAACTGGGATAGCTGGGTATAAGAAGAGGACAACAACACTCAGAAAACAGTCTACTTGTTTTATGTGAAGGGGTTATCAGAGAAAATACAAAGGATCTGTGGTCCATATAACATCAGGACAACCTTCAAAAGCTGGATGACACTTCGCAGATATCTCTCCCGAGTAAGAACCCCCCACCCCTTCCACCATAGAGGAGAACATGACTAAAGACTGTGTGTAACACTATCCTGTGCAGCTGTGGAAAGAAATATCAAGGGGAGACAGGCCGCCCCATTAAGGTAAGGCTTCAAGAACACCAGAAAGTTGTAACACAAGGGGAAGTGGAAAAATCAGGTGTGGCTGATTACATATGGAGAGAAAAGAGAGATCACTGTCTCTGTCGGATCAGGTTGAGATCATAGACAAAGAACACCATTGGAAAATTTGTAACCTTAATGAATCAGCACATATACTTAGTCACAAAAATCTGCTGAGCCAACCAAGCATAGAAATGAATACAATATGGGAACCAGTAATAAGGAGTGCCAGAGAAAAGCGATAATAACAGCATAATTTGCAATATGAGCTCTGGTAAAAACATGCAATGATAACAGCAAAAATTGCAATATAAGCACTGGTAAAAAATGATGCTCAAGACATTAGGTTTATAATACCCAGAATTTCATACACACAGTGGATAAAGGCATTAGTTAGATTCAATGACAAAGAGTGTGAGTTCAATACCCGGTTAAGGCAGTGGAGAACTTGGAGAGGAGAATTAACAGGAGATAACTGATAACTGACATCCAGAACTAGAACAGTCTACCCCAGTGAGCAAAATAAATGGTTCAGTTTGACATTCCCGGCTGGAGTGTACAACAGCCGAAACGTTGTAATAAATATGGCGACAAAGATGAGGACAATATTCCAAATGATGTAAAAACTATTTTCTAATTGCAATTTATTATATATTGGAAGACATTCTTCTCTGAGATTAATATTTTTTCTTTCTTACAGAAAGTGATCTCTTCATTTCCTTATTCTGAAATCGCCCATTCCAGTCCTTCCCTCACCAGCATTATGATTGTCATTGGACATGTTGCTAAAGGATCAAAATATATGTTTAATACTAACCAAGTAAGATCAATATCCTTTTTCTTCTTCACTGTTTCTGCTTGTGCATAGATCACAGGAAAGAAACCCAACTGAAAATATTTGAGATTTTATTTTTATGTTACCAACTCATATTTAAACATAGATTATTGAAAGATTAAATATTTTCTGTAAGCAATTTGTAAAACAATGTCTTTTAGATAGCAGATGATGCAATAGTTAAAAACAAACAAAAACATCAATAAATAAAGCTATAATATTCAGATTCCTCATTTCCTCTTTTTCAGATTTAAAGCTTTATTCTTTTTTTTTTATTTAATTGCACCATTTTTTGAAATTAACTTTCTAAGCTTTTAGATACTTATTGATTAATGGGAATTAATTCTATGTCTTCAAGAAGAAATGATTTTCTATTTTAAAAATAGAAAATCTAAGAAACTTTACCAAGCTAATTTTTCTGTTTTATTTGTTTCTTTTTTGTTCAAGAAAATAAAACTATGCAAGAGACCTACAGATTTTCCCTTAATTATATGATAAAAGAAAATAGCTTTAAATAAAGTGGACGTCATATCTAAGGCACCTTTCAGCCAACACTTTGTCAGAGATATTCGTTGGCAATATTAGATATAAATGAATACAAAGACATCTTAATGAAATGAATGAGGAGGGAAAGTTGGAACTTGACTAAATGATAAATTTTAATTATATAAATTAAAATTGAATGAGGGGAGATGTAAATAAATAGTTCCACAAGAGTATATAAAATAGAAAAAGGGGGAACTCACAGACCCTCCAGCAGACGTAAGGAACGTAAAAAGTGTTCCTTCTGTCTGCACAGACTGGGTTGCTGACACTTAATATATAAACGGCTTCAGAAACTCGAAGATGGTGTATTGATTGAGCGCTCTGTAAAACTGAAAACTACGTGTCTTCGTACTCAGCAGCACAAGCATGATTGTCCAGCAAATGTTGGCCAATTGCTGACTCATCTACTGACTGAGTTGTTCTTCTTATAGGTTGACTGGGATTGCTTGAACGCACAAAAGCAGGAACAAGCTGCGCCACCCTTGTCTCCAACCTTAGATTGGTACGTCCTATGTATACCGCGTTGCAACGGCATTTGAATTTATAAACAACAGAATTTTTATGAAAATAGGACAGCCTATCTTTAGAAAAGGAAGGAAGAAGGGTTCTAGTATGAAAAACCGTGCACAACTTAACAGCATTGTATGTGGACAGAATGGACGCTGAAATTTTGTCTGATAATAGATGACATTTCCTGCCATGCCAAGGTAAATTCAAATAAACAGGACATTGGCATTGTCGATCACACACCTGATAATATTGATGGGATATCCATTACTTACGAAAATATTTCAAATTTTAGTAAGTTCTCCATCTAACATTTCAGGGGAACAAATCATGACAGCATGATGGACTAAAGTCAAAATCAGACTAATTTTGCGAGACTTAGGAACAAACGAGTTCCAGCTCGTATAAAGTCTGGTGAATGTGGGCTTACAAAAAACATTAGTGACAAAAGCCCCATCCTTTCATTCAACTAGGACATCCGAAAAATCTCCATTGTAAACTTAATGGAAGGATGGAGAGAATTTAGTTGAGCTAGAAAATTAGTGGCATCTGTGAAAGAATCAAAAATAGAAAAAGTACTGTCTACATATCTCATATAGACAAAGGGTTTATGGACTTTATCAAGTAAGATTCATTCATAATAGCCCACGAAAATGTTGGCTAAAATGGGACCTAAAGGGCTGCCCATCACAACCTCATCCGTCTGGACATACATTGTCTCATTAAAGCTAAACTCCACACCTTCCGTGGTCAAACGCATGCATTCCAAAAATAGTTCTTCAGGGATGCTACCCAAATTGCCCCTATATATAACATCAGCACAAATGCCAATGGTCTCAAGTAATGGGACATTGGTATATAAACTGATAATATCAAATGACACCATCAATTAATCTTCAGACTGAATATCCAAACCTCTAATGAATTTAGAAAAAAGAAAGTAGTCTGAAATATTATAGTCCGAAAAATATCTTTGAGATGGGTTGGAGTAATTCAGCCAACCATTTAGCCACCTCATGTTGTACTGATCCCACCATAGACAAAATACGTCTAAGTGGGACTCCCTCTTTGTTTACTTTAGGAAGTCCATACATGCATGAACGTTGCAAGCCTGTCGGTCTCACCCTGTTGTAAACTTCCTTGGGGATAAGATTAGCCTTATATATATTTGTGTCCTAGCTTCAACTTTACTTGTGTTGTCACATTTATCTGCGGGGCCAATAATCCTAAATTTTGTAGAATCATTTAAAATGTCATTCATTTTATCCAGATAATCTTGTTTATTTAGGATTACAACGCCAAAACCTTTGGTTAGATATACATCATTCCTTGACTTTAATGATTTATGGTGCGAAAATGAATACCTTGCCAACCTCAACCAAGAGCAAAGAATATTCATTGGCTAGTTCAAGGAGTTTTGCCTTAGTAGCAGAGAACTTCTCAGTAAAATTTAGGACATGTTTTATTAATTGAGAGAATAACATCTCAAATTCAATTAAAATATGCTCCTTATTAACTCTAGAACGTGGAATGCAGAAATCCAAACCACGAGAAAGAACTGATATTTCAATACTAGTTAAAGTGATAATAGAAAAGTTGAAGATATGTTTGTTCAAATTATCTTCAACCACTCCAAACCTTCTAGAGATGAGGCTATTTAAATATTTATTATTCCTCTCTCTCTCTCTGATTTTTCCAGCCATAACCTGACAAAAACCAAATAATGAGAGAGCCGAAAAAAATCTAAAAAAGACAGGATAATGAAAAATCAAATAATTTTTCCAACTCATTTTTGATGAAGCTTGTTCAATATAGATGGAACTAACTTTGATTTTCAATAGCCTCCATTTAATAAATGAAGGGACAAACAAGAACTGAGAAAAGATCTCAATCTTAGTGAATTCACCTTAATCGGACGGACTGATTAATTTTATGAATTACATCTCCTGGGTACCTATGACTAAGATAAACAAACAAAGATTTGTACCCAAGGAACTAATATATACCTTTAAATAAAGTGGCTGTCATATCTAAGTCACCTTTCAGCCAATGCTTTGTCAAAGATATTCGTTGGCAATATTAGATTTAAATGAAGACAACTTAATGAAGTAAATGAGGAGGGAAAGTGGAACTCGACTAAAAGACAAATTTTAATTATATAAATTAAAATTGAATGAGGGGGGATGTAAATAAATAGTTCCACAAGAGTATATAAAATAGAAAAAGGGGGAAATAACTGTATTCATAATTTTTTCAGTTTTTAATATAATTCTTCTATCAAAAATGTGAAAAGTATACATTAAAACTATTTGAGTAAAGTAATACTGACTGGCCATCTTTTATGTAAACTATTTGTTTCATTTGCAGTGTAGAAGGTTCAAATGAAATTTTTAAAAGCATGAATTATAAATTTATTTTCATTTGCTACTGTACCAGTAATTAATCTGACTGAATAAACATATTCCATATAAATTTAAATATAGCAGAATAGCTTGTTAATTATTAACTAAAGATATATAAATCTGGTTTTTCACCTTGGTCACATCTATATTCTTGATTCTTTTGGGGAATGGTGTTTGATCAATTATGCTTTTAATGTTAATTTATTTTTTTTATTCTTTGCATACTTAGGCTTCCTTGAATACTATAGACTTTCAACTTTTTAAAAATGTTATGCAAGATTTTTATGATCTAATAACCATTATATTTGAGTTAGATAGGGTTTCCATTTTGCATGTTTTGTTTTTCTTATTGCTTTAACATTTTGACTTTTTCTTTTATAGGCTACACAAATTTCTCAGCTCATCAAAGACTATGTTGAAGAACTGAGATATCGTTCTTTCTCCATGCAAGCAAGCTCTCACCATCAGTATGCAACAGGAAGTGGAGGGGATGATACAGAAGCAAGCAGAAGTCACCACGATACAGGCTAGCTAGCATTAAAAAAATACAAAAACAGGCTTGATCGTAGGTGATAATTTATACTCTGCTACAAAAGCAATAAAAAAAAAGAATGAAAAATAAGAACAAATATAGAAATAGCTTTCAAAGACTCAAGCACAAAGAAAATAGTCAAATATGACAAAAATTGCATAAATAAAAATGTCAATTGGAGGAAAATCCCAATTGAATGGAAATGAAAGACAAAAATGTCTTATTTTTTGAAAAGAATTTTTTTTAATATGATAACAAAATTTGCTAAAGACTTAATTGTTACAACTCCACTATTTTGTTCTTTATTAACCCTCCACATGAACATTCTAACTCTATTTTGGCAATAATTAATTTTATTAATAGGTTCAAAACAAAATCTCTGAATTGGGGATTAAAGCATAGATATACCAACATACCTACCTATCTAATTCTCTCTCTTTCTCTCTCTGTACATATATATATATATATATATATATATATATATATATATATATATAGTTACACAAATGTGTACATAAGAATATTTCTTCCCTCATTTTTCTTAGTCTTTGCAAAACTACTTTAAATGCAATTTTGAAGTGGATTTTAAATTAATTTCAGTAGCAAATTAAGAAAATATTTTTGTTTGAATGGCTTGGGGATATATTTCCTCTGTCAGCCTAACTCTCTCTCTCTCTCTCTCTATCTATCTATCTATCTATCTATATATATATATATATATATATATATAAATCTTCTCTGTGGGACCTATGAAATCATATAAGTCAGAGTTTGGTACAAATTTAAAATAATTGATTGAGTAAATTGATTAAAGAGGAAGCTTCCTTTCAAATGGAAAAAATTGAATTAGAATTTTTCAAACCAAAACAAGAATAGAGATATGAAAATGTAAAAGATTAGTGTTTTTAAAAATGTTCATTTTTCAGTTGTAATAAAAAATTTAAAAAAGATAATGAACATTTTTTGTGTTACGTTTTTGAATGAAAATAAAAAAAACACAAACCAAAATGTCATGAACCCTATTCTCTTAAACACAATAATCAGGGGGAAAATGAGGATAATTAATGCTAAATGCAGTTTTTTGTTCTCTTTAACAGTCATTAATTATTCAATTTAAACTGTACTTTTTGTTCGTTTCATAGTTACAATCCCCATTCTTCTTTAATGCTTGTGTCTGGATTGTAAATATGTGGAGTTGAAAACAATAAAAATGTATAAAGTATTAGAATATACAATGGAAGAAAAAGAAGAAAGATTTACAAAATGAAAAAATAATAATAAAGTAAGGAAAAAAACAATTTAAAAAATTTCCATAAATGATTTTTATGTTTTAATAGATTGAAAATAAATGAATTTGGACAAAGTTAATTTTGCATAAGTACATAGTATTGACTACCCTTACCCTTTTCACATCATATTACAAAATTCTTGGACTGCAATAGCAGAAAACAATAGCAAATACATGTATATATACTAAATGAGTGGATTTTTAGTTTTCAATTTGGACTCAGCAGTCTAAGTTTAAAAAAAAAAAACTCGTCAGATGAAGTTTTAAATCTTCTTTATTTGGAAAAGAAGCAATTTGCCAGCCTTCCAGCAGCTTACTGAAGTATTTGGGAAGACTTCGTTTTTTCTTTTTTTTTTTTTTAAGAATAAACAAATATTTGAGATTTTCTGAGTTTTAAATGTTTCTTTATTACTTTATGTACATAATGAAATATATTTTCAAGTGTCAGAAATATACCAGAAAGTATTTAGAAATGTATTTATATTTAGCTCCACACACATATGAATATATCCTGTCTAAAGTTATTAAGCAAATATAAACTTCAGTAATTCAAATTTGGTTTGAAAAAATTGTCAAATCTTAAACACTCAAATTAGATGTTAAAACAAAACCTGAGTTAACATTTTAGGTAGTATCAATATGTGTTTTATTGAAGTTATTTCATGTATCCTAAATAACTGCTGTCTGAAGTTATAAGGCAAAAACAAATAATCACTTTTTGCTTCAATAAAAATGTAATAAAATCATCAAAAATTGATCAACAAAATTTTAAAATTGTAAAATATTTGCTTTAGTGAGAGGAGGTTCCTATGAGATTTTTTTTACAGATCCCAATTCACAAAGTATTTTTGTTCTTCTTGAGTCCCTCAATTCCATCCATTTTCAAAGATCTGATCACTGGTCCAAAGTTTATGTTCATCTTGAGGAAGCAAGTTCTTTAAGCCTTTTCCTTTGCTTGAGTTCTCAACTTATTTATATTTGCAACAGCTTTCTTTATCATTCAATGATCTCTGCAAAGCTCCAATGTGAACATTCCCTCGCTCAATAACTTTGTTATTTTCTGTTTTTCAACAATTGTTAGATCCTTCCATTTACCCATGTTTCAATATATATTATGGACAAAGAGAAAAAAAATAGTTTTTATTTGATTTCAGAAGGCTTAACCTAATATTAGTTTAATCTGCATACTAGCTTCAGTTAATTCATCTTCAAATGGTTCCAAATACCTCAAAAACTAACCATTAAAAATGGCAGAAGATTTAATTAAATATTTTACTGTGGAAATGGACAATTTTAAATTTGACAAATATTGGTTCAGAACTTTTTGAGTTATTGAGGTTTATTTGATTTACATAACTTCAGACAGGCTGTTAGAAACAAATTGCTTTTTTAAGTGTTCCTCTTGGTTTTAGCTGAGATAATTATAATTTCCAGTGCATGAAAGCAAAAGAATGTTTTCCAGGTTGCAGTCAAGCAATAAATGGGGTGTAATACACTGATGAAATTTTTTTTGGTTGATGAAGTTTTTCAGAAGTCAATTTTGATTCCACTAATGCCCCATTTATATATTTATTATTTGTCATAAAATCTTAACAAAAATACTTATTTAGTACATTTATGTATATTTTTATTGTACTTAGTTGATTGTGAAAGCTTCTCCAACTAGAATAAATTTTGGAAACTGGTATTTAATCAACAGGTTTATAAAGAAAAATAGGGAAAACTGAAAAAGGAAAAATATATAAGATGTCATTTCTAATACATTTACAACAAAATAATTGTCTACAGTTGAAAAAAATTGTGTGTGTAAGATAATATACTCAGTAGACAGGACAACACATGTACATAGAAGAAATAGAAAAACAAGATAATACAGAATATAACAAATAGGGGATGTGATTCTCAAGCTGATCCACTTTTAAAAATCTAACCTATTGAGCAAAGATCAGATATTTTTCAATTTTTTCTTAGTCTTCCACTTTTGCCAACTCAGTATGCACAATACTGTAAAACTGGAAGGTAGTCAACAGTATCATAGAAAAAAAAAAGGATTTGAGTCATTAATTAAGTAAGTACATGATGCTGCATTCCAGGCTACTTTGTACCATGTTGCTGCATACTAGACTGCCCTGCTGGGTTCCAAGTTACTACCCCTAAATTATTATGCATGATGGTGGAGTGGGTCTATAAATCTTGTAACAGAAAAATTTCCACCTGACATGATAATAAATATATTGTATCAGTAGATTCCAGTTAAATAATTGGCTTATTAAACTTTTATTAATTGTTACTTAAATAATGTCTCCTGAATTGTTCCTTGGCATTTTCATAGTTCTTTCTCTACACAATTTAGCCCTCAAGTGATAAGGTATTGAAGTTTGATCAAGGATGTAAGAGTAATGTTTTTCTAAACTATATTTATACTGCGATGTCTACTATTTCTCTTCTTTATTGTTTTTTTTTTTTTTTACTCTTTTTCCCTCTCTTCTGTTTTAAGACAATTCAACATTTTTACACTTCTGTCACTGGGCCTTTATTGTTCACTCTCATTAACTGAGGATGACATTAATTAAAAAACAGACACTACAATCTCAAGACGCTAAAGTCAGAGATAAATAGAAATACAATGATATTCTGAATAGATTCCTTATATATTGTTATATTCCTTGGAAATGTGTTGCATGTTGTTTTCTTTTGTTATAGTGTGGTTTTTAGATATGTTTAATTGATTGTCTGCTAAGAAGAGCTAAATTGATGGCTGGAAGGAAATGCCAATACTTTTCATTCAGGTAAGATTATTAATGTTTGACAACTAATTTCTTTTGCCTAATATTCACTACTTCTTGTAAGATGGAATATGTTTCCTCTACTAAATATGTTTCTTTTTCCATAAGCAAGGAAAAGTGGATATCTTCTCTAATATGTCCAGTGACATCAATACAGGATTCTCATTGAAGTTTAATTGTAGGATCATTTTGTTGCACCAATACTTGAGGTTAGACATTTTGGTTTATACCAGCCTTTGATTCTGAAGATATTGGCACCAGTATTCATTAATCACTGTACTGCAATGAACAGCAGACTATTCCCCATTTTTCTGAAAACCCACAGGGCCAGATTAACAAAAATACTTTTTATGTTAATTGCTCAGATTGTATTAACCATCCCTGAAAGCGTTTTCCTTTTCCTACCTTACAACTATGTTAGGATAAAAAAAAAACTTAACCAAAATAGCATATTGGATTTTTATGGCTGTCTTTATAGATGGTGGTCTTTTCAAAATTTTAAGTTTTGTGTAGGTGACACATGTTCTTTGTCATAACTAAGGATTCAGTTATCAAACTGGTTACAACTTGGAGGAACAAATACCTAATAAGATACATAGTGTAATTTTGAGATCAATAATTATTATTTCAAGATTTCTTTTGATTACTGATCTCATTCTTCTTGTTACTGCAACGTTTTCAGCTAATTCAATATCTGACCATGTTCAGAGTGAACATCTATATAAAAAACAAATGAGTGGAAGTGAATTATTCCCTATTGAAAATTTTGAAAAAGAACCAAGAAGATTAACAGAGAATTTTACTTTCTCTCTGGGAGTGTGTATTTAAAATAAATGGGCAAATAAGAAAAAATGGACCATC